GAAGACCAGCATGCCCCTCTGAACAACTGATAAAAACATTAAACAGAAAGGTGGGGTGCTCAAGAATCACCACCCACAGCACCTGTTCCATGTTTACTGAACACTGTAGCCCACGCTACAACAGTACACGTGCTTTTTAAGGCATATTCAGTAATACGCATCAGCTGCTAAGGCATCAAAGTACCCTGTACAAATTTTTAGAAAAGAAAAGAAATTATACTGAAGGTGCTAAAAGACCACAATGGAATTAAGTTACAATAAAAAGAGAAGGAAAACTGCAATTAACTGAGAGCTAAATCACACACTCTAAAACAGTCTACATAGCAAAGAAGACTCAAAGAAATTTTCTTAATACATCACATTGAATGAAATGAAAAATTTCCACCAGCATTGGTGTGACACAGCTAAATCCATGCTGAATTGGGTATCCATACAACTAAGCCACTACATCAGAAAAGCAAACTTGCAAATCAGTAACTCTAGCTCACACCTCAGGGGCCCAGAAATAGAAGAGTAAAATCAGACGAAAGCAAGCAGAAAGGAGGAAATAAGAATGGTAACAGTGGAGGCTAACACACTTAAAAACAGACAAGCAATCTAGAAAATGAGTAAAGCAATGAGCAGGTTCTTTAAGGCAATACATTTGACAAGGCTCTGATGAGGCTGAGAGAAAGGCGGAGACTTAAATTAGCAAAATCAGGAATGAAGCAGAGGCATGCACAGGCCCCACGGGCATTGATGGGGCAATGGAAATAACACTGTTAACTCGGCACATGTGGACCTGACACACGGGCAAATGAAACCACTTCTCAAAAATCACAGCCACAATAACTTATCAAAGATGAAAGAGATCATCTGTATAGTGCTATAATTATTAACATAGCTGAATTCAATTTTTAAAGGGCCCCCCAAAGAAATATATAGATCTGAGGAATTTTATTCTTTTAAGCATTTAATGAATTAACAATAATACTATAAGCTCTCTTCTACAAGAATGAAAACTTTCATTTTTTCCATAAAATCAGTATTACCATGACACCAAAACCAAACATATAATAAAGCAAAAATGATAAAGACAACTAACACAAGTATCTCTTATGAATATAAACTCAAAAAAATGCTTAGCAAAATATGAACAAAGTGGATTCAACAATATTATGGAGTTATTCATAGTCCCTTTTGTATAAAAGGAATTAATCCAAGTAGGATTTGTTTCATGTATGCAATAAACACAATAAAAAATAATCAATATAATCCACCACATTAGAAAGATAACAAAGGAAAATCATATGATCACTCAATTGGGAGAGAAAAGCACTGTGTAGCCTCTTATTGGGAATGTGTTCATCTCTAGACTTCATGAAGATCCTTGCATTTCAGTCAAAACTGTCGTAGTGAACACAGCGTGCTTTTCACTGCCGGATCCCGGTCCTTACGCTCCTTCTGTAGGCTGGTTTATTTCCTGAGTGACCACCTAAACTGCCAGAGAAACTGTCTAGTCATCCCAATACTCAGCTGCAACGTGTGTTCATAAACTCAAGGTTGCTTGTTTTGAGGCAAAGATGATTATCTCTACATTTGAAAACAAAAAGATTATTTTACATGCGGAATTTCAAAACCTGAACATTTCAAACTCCAAGTTAAAAGCTCAACAGACTGGATACTAAAAAGAGGCCATCCTGCTTAAGGGAGGGAGACTGTTAAACTTTACATTTTGTGCTCTTTGCCTGAGGAAGCCTACAACACAGGTTCATAGGAATCTCCTTCACGCAACAAGAAAGTACACATTTACAGAGATTTGACAGGCTGTGGTGTACTAATGATCTGACTTGACTACAGAGAAAGCTCAGATCCCAGACCCTTGAGCTGCCATTGCTGACAGACTGACACACTCTCGTTCCCACAGTGAAAATCGCCATCTCCTGGCACCAGACGGTCCCCTCTACAACAAGAACAGAGGAAAGTCACCATGAGCACTGCAGGCAAGGTAGGTGTCCTCTCTCTGTGTATGTCATGCCATGGTTGTGTCAATCCCCTAGGCTCCTGCAGGACATGTGATCTCAAGATCTCCCCCCTTCCCTTCACTTATCCCTTGTCCCTTCTCAGTTTTTCCATTACTGCAGTAAGTACCATACAGACTCTATTTCCGATTTCCCCATTCAAAGATGAAGCCCTTCTTAAGGATTCCTCACAGGCATGGATAGTTAGCTAAAAGGGACGCAAGGACTGCAAAAGAGATCTGGAAGATGGCAGCTCAGGGAAGTTTCAAACCTACACTGGCTTCCCAGAGGAGGTGGCACTGAGGGAGAAAGTTACCTGAGAAATGGAGACTCACCAGGTAACAGAGGACAAGACTTTGTAAGCAAGTGAAACCACAGAGAAAGTATAGAGGCAGAAAGACCTCCTATTTGATCATCTCCCAGAAGCCTGTGTGACAAGGCTGAGGTGGAAAATGACAGGAAACAGGACTGCAGAGAGACCAGAAGACGGCTAAGCAACTGGCAGAAGAATCACTCCTACTGCATCAGCCTGGGAGACCACTGAGGCAGTGACAGGGAGGGTGCATCTGAAGATGAGCACACCAGCCAGTGGAGCAGAAAGCTTTTCCAGTGGTTCATGTGAAAGGCAACGGGAGGGTCCAGACCACACAGAAGTAGCGAGAAAGAAGAGGAGGGCACAGATTCCAGAAAATGTCTGATTGTGGACAGCGAAGGACAGAGAAAAATTAAGGCTACTTCCCACGTTTCTGTCTTGGATGAGTGGTTGGATTTCATGTTTGAAACATGGAAAGTAGATGTGTACTGTGTCCTTTAAGGTACAGATGAGAGAAAGAATGGCTTGTTTGTCTATTAACATATTGAGTTTGCAGTCCATGGAAGACATTCAAACAGCATATAAATGCTTGTCTAAATCTTCAGGAGAAATTTGTCCCATAGATACAGTTTGTACAAGTCATCTACATAAAAGCAGTGACTGAATACATAAAAGTGGAAGATCATTTATACTAAGGATGGTGGGCTGATATCAGAACCCCTAAGAACTGCCTTGGCATTTGCAATCTCTCCAACATCAATCAATCTCCAATGATTACATTCCCATTTATTGATCTCCACCATCAGATTGTCTTCACTCTTTGTGCCATAACTCACTGCTTCAATCCAAGGTCCCTCATACCTGGGATCATAAATGTCCCCACACCGTAATATCATCACAACCCTGAAGTAAGTGGGCAATTTCATTCATAATAATAGCAAATGCATGGCATCTAACCAGGAGTGGTGGCATGTGCCTGTAATGGCAGCCTAGGGAGTTGGAGGCAGGAGGATCATAAGTTTAAGAATAGCCTGGGCTACATAATAAGACTGTTTCAGAAGAGAGAGAGAGAGAGAGAGAGATCTATCCATCCTTTTTTATATATGTGCTTTGCTATAAATATATGATATTTGTTAGACCAATTTAAATATAGAGGAAGAAAGCATAAGAAAAACTTAAATTATAAGACCCACCAATTTCAGTATATATTTAGATTTTTCCATTCCTTTATTTTCCTATTGAGTATAGACAAATTAAGTACTTTCTGGTAATGATTAATATAAGAATCTTCCACCTTTCAGACCTCCTAAGTCTCCCATTCTCCCCCCATCTGCTGTCCCCAGGTGATCAGATGCAAAGCTGCTGTGCTCTGGAAGCCTGGAGCCCCACTGAATATGGAGGAGATAGACGTGGCCCCACCAAAGGGAAAGGAAGTTCGAGTGAAGGTAAGACAAAATCCACAATTCCACATCACAACCAAAGCTGTTTGATACAAATTATATATCCTTTTCAGAATTTCCTACTCAAAAAGAAAACTAAATGTTTCTTCTGTCTGGAAAAGGTTAGAGAGGTTAGTATCTGTCCATACTGCTAATCAGAAGAAGAAAACTCATTCAGTGGGGTTTTTCAAGCTTGCTTACATACTTGGAATCACTGAGGAGCTTGAAAAACATTAATTGCCTCTCATCCTGGAGATTTTGAAATTCTGAAGTTAGGGATTGATTGGTTTGGGGTGGCACCTATCCCCCAGACGACTCTAACTGGCTCCCAGAGAGCAAAAATGCAGCTCATCTGACTGACCTTGTGGTTCAAGGTCATTAGATTACTTCCACTACAGTGGCGGGGAGTATGTATTATTTACAGATGGACTACAGAGAGACAGTTCTAAGTTACCTTACCTACACAAACCATACCCTCTTCTCAAGGAACCTTCTCTGGTATCTATCCCCTACTGAGTGAGAAGGGCAGTACTTAGCAATCCCTAGCAAGCATACTCCAACAAGGTTAAAACTCACACAACTAGTTTTAGACTCAAGACACCCAGCCACTGTCTGACAAGCTACCCTCTGTCGCTCTCACCTGTGCATTGGAACCAAGTTATAGAGCAAGGCAGGTGCTGGCCAGCGGGGGAGAGAGACTGGGGCCAGTGCCGCTAGCCATTGTTATCCAGGTGATTACGATAAACAAACGCAGGAAACTTATCTGCTGAGGAATAACAGGACAATACCAGCTCCAGTGTCAGAACCAGAACAGAATAATGAACGCAAAAACACGTTGGCTGGTGCAGTTCTAGACCCAGGAGCTTCAAATGCCCTTCCTACAGTTGGGTCACAAGCACAACACAGTTGGGACTTACAATAAAGCAGGATTGTTAACGCAGCTTTTAAATGTGTTTTGCACGATAAACTAAAACTTTAGTTAAAACAGGGAGCATTACTCTTTTCTCAACCTTTTAATTCTATAATTAGCTGTCTTCTTCCACACTCCCACCCTCAAGCTCACGGAAGGGCCAGGTCGGATCTTTGGTATCACACTGAGGTTATTTCGATTGGAATCTCCCCGTTAGGCTCAAGTGTTTGAACACTCGGTCCTCAGTTGAGGTGCTGTTTGCGAAGGTTATTGAGAGACGCAGCCTTGCCAGAAGAAGACACTGCGGACAGGCTTTGGGAGCTCATAGCCTTACCTTACATCTAGTATGTGCTCTGATTCGCTTTTTTGGTTGAAGATGTGTTCTCTCAGTTTCGTGCTCTGATTGTCTGCTGCCATGCCTGTCCCTCCATTACTCGAGTCTTCCTCTGAAACCGTAGCTCAGTATAAACTCTTCCCTTTTGTCAGTTGTCTGAGCCGTGACAGTTTGTCACAGCAGTGGAGAAGTCACTAATGCACACAGTGTGCTTCTCCAGCTTCTCTTTGACTCCATTAAACTGTGACTCAGCACTTGATCTTGGAAATTAATCAAGGAAGAACACTGTGTTCCTTCACACAAGTAATTGTTGACAGCTGTCAATAATGAGAGCGGTAGAAGTGAACGCACTAGAAGCCTTCACAGAGCAGCAGATCTGAAGCTCCTTCACAACAGACAAATCTCAGTTCTCTGTGCTTTCCACACAGATGGTGGCTGCAGGAATCTGTGGTACAGATATAAAAAGTATGGATGACAAAAATATTGCCCAGTTTTGCCCCATCATTATGGGCCATGAAGGAACCGGCATAGTCGAGAGTGTGGGAGAAGGAGTAAGCACGGTGAAAACAGGTAAGAAGCAACATCCGGCATTGAGAAATGGCAAGTTGTGGAACCACAGCAGAAAATCAGGTTAAGGGCATCCCTTAAATGTGTCATTATGAAGCAAACAAAAAGAAAGGTGGGGCTGGAGAGATGGCTCAGTGGTTAAGAGCACTGATTGCTCTTCCAGAGGACCCAGGTTCAATTCTCAGCACCCACATGGCAGCTCACAACTGTCTGTAATTCCAGTTCCAAGGGACCCGACATCCATGGCAAAAACACCAATGCACAAAAAAATAAAAATAAAAAAGAAAAGTGAAACACTGCCCATTTCTCATAGGGGGAGTCACAACTGTCTCTAAATAACATGACAGTTGTAATGGGGGTTAGTCTTCACATTTGTATTTTGAAGAAAAATGCACCAAATCTAGAGTTAATGAAGAAACAATGAGGAGAAAAAATGACAAGGAATGAGTAAACTGGAGTGCACTACTGAATAAATCGATCAATGAAGTGAGGGCAGTGGCCCCAATTGTTTGGTTGGGTCTCTTGGGTCCCCTTGACCAACAACTTGAAGCAAGGTGTACCTTCACTGGCATTGGGAGTTTGATAGTCTGTGGCTCCTGGAGGGAACACTGTCACCAGATGTTTGGAAACAATTTAAACAAGATGTACGTGTGTATAGATATGTGTATATGTATGTACAAATGTGTGTATAGATATGTATTGTGTATGAAGATATATAGATACGTGTATAGATATGTGTGTACAGATGTGTAAATGTGTATATAGATATATTTGTGTGTATCATTACATATAAATTATATATATGCATGTTTAAATGTGTGTATAAATATGTATAAATGTGTGTAGATATCTATTTGTATGTATATGTATATATGTGTGTAGATATCTATATATGTATGTGTATAGATATGTATATATGTGTATGTATATACATATTTATTTGTTTTTAAGTTTATAAAATAATGTTTCATTATGGCTTTTTCAAATAGTTTTTAGTGTTATTTATCCTTCCTCACTCTTTCTCCCTCTGTATTCTCCCATTTCCCCCTCCCCGTTTAGTCCGCACCCCATTTCCTCCCTTTCCTTCTTTAGAGCATCTTTGTCCTATGGCTTCCTCCCTAGAACTCCTCCTCTCTGCCTCCCCCATGGTTTCTTTTGCTTTCCTGGCTTCTGAGCTTACTCCAGGATTTATATTCAAATCCAAAATGTAAATTCTCAAACATAAGAGAACACATGGCATTTGTCTTTCCAGGTTACCTTACCAGTATATTATCCAGCTCCATCCATTTGCCTGTAAATTTCATGAATTCGTTTTCTTTGCAGCTGAAAACAGTATCATTGTGTATCAAGATCATGATTTCATCCCACTTCCATCAACCGAAGAGCATCCAGGCGCTTCCATCTTGTCACTATTTTCAATAAGAGACAATGATATGGCTGTGGGGTAGAACATTTGAGTCCTTTGCTCTTAGGATGAAGAATAGTTTAGCTGGGTCATACAGTGAAAAAATTGAGTTTGTTTGTTTTTTTTAATGATTCTCCACGATGATTTCACGAATGGCTGCAAATCCAGAGTGGATTCCAGTCTGCAATGCCACCAACAGTGACTAAGGGTCCCCTCTCCCCACATCTTCACCAGCATTTGCTGCCAGTTGTTTTCTTGACCCTAAGCCATTCTGACTTGGGTAAGATGAAATCTCAAAGTGGTTTTAATTGGCATTTCCCTCATTTCTAAGGTTGCTGAACAATATCTTAGCTATTTTTGGGCCATTTTCACTTCTTCTGAGAACCCTCTGTTCAGGTTATTAGCCCATTTTTTCAATTGGGTTGTTTGTTTCCTTGATCCTTTGTTCTTTGAGTTCTTTGTCTATTCTGGATATTGATTTCCTATCAAATACACAGCAGGCAAAAATTCTCTCCAACTCTGGGCATCCTCTTCACTCAGTGGACTGTTCCCTTTGTTGTACAGAGGCCTTTTGGTTTTATGAGGCCCCGCTTGTCAATTCTTGGCCTTAATTGCTGAGCAAATGAAGTCCTATTCAGAGTGTCCTTTCTTACACTGATATCTGGTAGAGTACTCACTATGTTTTCTTCTGGTAGTTTCAGCATTTCAGATTTCATATTGAAATCTTTGATCTATCTGGAGTCTTTTCTTTTTTCTTTTTTTTTTGAGGAGTAATAGATATGGGTCTAATTCAATCTTCTATATATGGACATCCAGTTTTCCCATCACTATATGTGGAAGCAGTTGTCTTTTCCCAGTGTAGAGTTTTGCCAACTATCAGATGACTATATGTATATGCACTTAAGTTTGCGTCTTCTATTCTGATCCACTGACCCACCTCTCTGGTTTTGTGTGAGTATTATAGCTCTGTAATACAAGTTTATATATGGTGTGATAATTTATATAGCATTGTTCTTTTTGCCCAGGAGTGCTTTGGCTATCCCAGGACTTCCATATGAATTTTGGATTTTTTTTGGTTCTATTTCTGTGAAGGATGTTATGGGAATATTCATAGTGATCACATTGAATCTGTAAATTTGATATGATGGCAACTTTCACAATGATCCATCTGCTAATCCATGAGCACAGGAGTCTCTTCCTTCTCTAACGTCCTCCTCAATTTCTTTCTTCTCAGTTTTCAAGTTTTCATTATAGAGGTCTTTGACCTCCTAAAACTAAAACCATAATAGAAGAGCCTAAATTCTAACAAAGCTTTTAAATTAAAATGTATAATAAATTACTATATTTGGCAGTAACAGACAATGAAGCAGTCAATAAATTCACCCCAAGCAAGACACTCTGATTTTCTTCTCTTAATTTGAACATAGAGGTACAAAGAGCACTTAAAAAAAAAAAAAAAAAAGGAATATGTTTGCTCTCCATGGCCACAAAGAAAGAGAGGAAGTACAACACAGAGCACAACTTGTGGTCAATCTTCCCCCAGTTCTGGGCCTCATTCTTTGAGCACTGTATCTATTTTGACTCTAGCCCCACAGTGGAAGTTAATGCAGAGGACATAACATGTAGTTGAAGGCTGTCTTAGTTATGATTTCTAATGCTGTGAAGAGACACCATGACAACTCTTATAAAGGAAAAACATTTAATTGGGGTAGCTTACATTTCCAGAGGTTTAGTCCATTATCATCATGGTGCAACATGTAGGCAGATATGGTGCTGGAGAAGTAGCTGAGTATCCTACATCTTGACTTGCAGGCAACAGAAAGTGGTCTGTCTCACTGGCCGTGAATGGAGCACGAGACTTCAAAGTCCACCTCCACAGTGACACATATCCTCCAACAAAATGAAACCTATTCCAATAAGGCCACACCTCCTAATAGAGCCACTCTCTTTGGAGGCCATTTTGTTTCAAACCACCACAATGGCACACAACTAAATTTTTTGCCTGGGTATTCCAAAAGTGTCATACAAGGTGGGCATATCTGGAGCCAGCTCCTAAGTATTCAGCCATGGCCTTGGACTGGATAGGATGCTGCAAATATGTTTGTGATCAAGCACAATTAAACAAATAAATAGTTCTTCATTATCACATCTTCTTGGTGCCTTGCTATTGACAACCTAAGAAATCAGACTACTCAACATTAACACCCTAATAGTTACTTTGCTTTTTAGGTGATAAAGTCATCATCTTATGTCTACCACAATGTGGAGAATGTAACACTTGCCTCAATTCCAAGAACAATATTTGTAAGGAAGCTAGGTAAGTCTTTATAACTATCTTTTTAAAAGTCTAATTCAGTTTCACATGAAGAGATTCAAGCTTTTTGATACAACATAAAGTTTGTTTCCTTTCACCTATAAAAAGACTGTCAGGGACACATCTGACGTCTGAAGGCAACAGCAGAATTACCTGCAAAGGAAAGACAGTGTATCAATACATTACTACGGGCACCTTCTCCGAATACATAGTCATAAAGGAAATCTCAGTCGCCAAGGTTGACGAAGATGCTCTTCTGGAGAATGCATGCATAATTGGCTGTGGGTTTGCCACTGGCTTTGGCGCTGCAATCAACTCTGCCAAGGTGAGGGGCGTTCACGTCCATTTTAAAATAGAATCAGTAGGATAAGGAGGTGAAACACCTCTCACATTGGGGTACCACATGGTCATACCACCTGAAAAAATGAACAAACTTACCTCTGAGAACTGCAAAGTTCATTAAACTATATGATTGCCTCCCAATGCACTCCCTGCCATGCAGGAGTATAAGTATTCAGACTTTAAATACAACATAATTATAACATGACTATATCTTTCCACATTCCAGTGTATTTAATTTATCAAGCAATGGTGAAAATTTTCACTGTTCTGCTGCTAAAAACTCATCAAGTTTACATTCTAATTTAATAGTATATTACTTAGTAGTAAATGTTAAAAAAAGAAAGGGAGAGGGACTGAAGATGTACTTCAAGGACAGAACACATACCTAGTGTACACAAGGTCCTAGATTCAATCCAAGTACACCAAATGTCTTAGGGTTTCTATTGCTGTGAAGAAACACCATGACCATGGCAACTCTAATAAAGGAAAACATTTAATTGGGGTGGCTCCCTTATGGTTCAGAGGTTTAGTCCATTATCATCTAGGTGGGAAGCAAGGCAGCATGCAGGAAGATATGGTGCTAGAGAAGGAGCTGAGAGTTCTTATATCTCCACCCACAAGCAACAGGAAGTAAGTGGTCTGCCTCATTGGGCACAGTATAAGCATATATGAGGCCTCAAAGCCCACCTCCATAGTGACACATATCCTCCAACTAGAGCACAACTACTCCAACAAGGCCACATCTCCTAATAATGCCACTCCCTTTGGGGGCCATTTTTTTTCAAACCACAACACCAAATGAATTTTTAAGGGTATAAGAGAACCAATGGAGAGGTGATTATACTGACCAGGGAATCTCATTCTGACTGAATGAGCTACAGTTAAATTCCTTCTCTTGGGATATCATTCTAAACATCCCATCTCAATTCTATAAGGGGCCTTAGACATTTAACTCTTTGCATTGTCCACTGTCCTTTAGTCTCAGGGCTACACACAGAGATGGGATATGTCTTAGTCAGCTTTGTGTCATTGTGACAAAATACCTATGATAATAACATTGCAAAGAAGGAAAGTTTGTTTTGGCTCATTACCTCAGAGATTTTAGTCTGTGGGGTGGTCTTGGGGGCAACCTTGGGGCAGAAAGTCATGTCAGGGAATGTAGAGTGGGACAAAGCTGACCATCTCATGGTATCCAGGATCAGAAAGATTACAAATGGGAAACAAAAACAAAGGAGATCTGGTGCCCTAAAATCCCCTTAGGGTATATACCCATGATGTTTTCCTTCCATTGGGCTCCTTCAGAAGGTTCTGCTACTTAAGATGCCAAGGGCTGAGGAGTAGACCATTATTACATGTGTCTTTAGAGCATGTTCAAAATGCAAACTATATCAAGTTGGAAGATGTTCAATTTAAATTGGTGCCACACTGCATCACATAACATTTCTTGAGTAAACAATAGGAAACAGAACAATTCTGATAACACATGAGAAATCACACAGTTTCTCTCAGGCTAGAGATATCTCGCTGACCTGGCATGATGAGTAACCATGGCAACTCTGGGCTGTCAGCCAAGTTCCCTGATGTGTAGTCTATAAAGCAAGGAGGGAGGCATGTAGCACTGGAGTACTCTGCATGTTCTAAAGGTACAGTGACCTTAAAAGTGTCCTGGGACCTAAACATAAACAGTTAGTTGGCTAAACCTTGAGTCCTGCATTATACAACTGATGCTAGAAGTATGTGCAGAGTCAATCTGTGCAGGGAGTTATGTCTTTAATGTTGTCAGCCAGACTTTTGCAAGTGAAGAGCTGACACTAAAGTTGCTTCGTGCCTGAAGCAACTTGGTTCAACAACCAGACACTTGGGAATCTGTCCTTGTGCAATTTATTTGCAGGGGCAACTATCTGCTTTGAATTTGCGCTGAGGTCTTAAATCAGCTAATAGTGTAAAAAGCTGAGAATATTGTTATTTTCCTATGTCAGCCTGAGCTATAAAAAATATTCTAGTATTGTTTCTATTCATCAAAATTATACAGCTTAAGAAGAAATCATCTTTCTGACCATCCACAGATAAATGTGTGCCCAGAAAGTATAAAATACACCACCAGTGGGCTGTGGAGAGAACCCCACAGCTGTTCTTTTAGGGAGGAACTGTGGCAGCACATGAGAAAGTTACCAATAGAAACAAATGGTATCCAGCCAGTAACCCATCAGAGAGTTAATTCTTCTGGTGGGTCGAACTGTTGAATATTAGTTGTCATCTGATGTATATTCTATGGCCTCCAGCAAAATTTCATTACATTACTTTCATTCATGCTGATTCCATCCTGGGACTTGAAATTCTCTCCTTGTAGGTAGGTTTTTGTCCCTGTAGTAAAAGTATCACACACCAAGAAACAGTCTGAGAAACTAAAATTCTCTAGATGTATTTTACCTAAAAATGTCCTTTCCTTCAGTAAGGACACAGAAGACTGGGGAACAGCTCACTGGTAGAAGCTTCCTTCTTAGCATGAGACTTGGTATCACTATTTACCATAGAGGGGAATGTTCATGTTCCTTTTGCTTTTGATCTGTCTGCCTTTGTGCTCAGGTGTCTCCAGGCTCCACCTGTGCTGTGTTTGGCCTTGGAGGTGTTGGCCTGTCTGTCATCATTGGCTGTAAAGCAGCAGGAGCAGCCAGGATCATCGCTGTGGACACCAACAAAGACAAGTTTGCAAAGGCCAAGACAGTGGGTGCCACTGAGTGCATAGACCCACAAGACTTTGAGGAACCCATTCACAAAGTCTTATTTGATATGATGAATGATGGAGTAGACTTCACGTTTGAGGTCACTGGAAATCCAGAAACAGTGGTATGTGATCTTTGGAAGTGAAAATTACCAGTATATTATACCAGTTGTTTAATATTTTAATTGAATGAACATCTTACAATTCCTTCTACATTCCTCTATTTAATTTTCCTTGTGGTCCATGTCATGCCCACTAGAACATTTTGTTTATTTACTTTCCAACTGAACCTACAACTCTGCTATTGAGTTTGCTTATCCCTCTATTCCAAAATTATTTTCCTTCAATTAAGCATAAAGAACCGTCAGACAGAGATTACATGACCACAGGTAGCCTGAGATGACTATGATTTTCAAGCCAGAACACTTAAGTGAAAGCTCCACCAAATTGTCCTAGAAAACAATGAGCTTTTTACTTTTGATAAAAAATCTTTCATTTCATGTTAGATGTGAGCTTCTGAACCAAGAAAAGCATTTCCTCATTTGATTAAATGGGTCATTTCCAAAAAATGAAGAAAAAGAGTAGGGATTTTTCTGCGTGAACATGGTTAACATATGGAGATAACATGAAAGGCAGTCACACCAGACTCTGAGGAAAGTTTTCTTTTGCTCTTGAAGGAATGATACATTATCATTCCATGGATCCATTTCCAGGAAGTTATGCAGAAAGCAAAGAGGAGTCCCTTCAAACCCAGGTCTTTTCCCCAGAATTCAAAATTTCTTACAGTTCACCACAGATAACCCTCTCATCTGAGGAAACATACAGCAAAACCTTTATCCCAGTCTTGTTCTGAGAAATAGCCTTTGAAAATGACTAATGGGAAGGTTGTGGGTGGTCACTTTGTTAGCATGTCATATTATACAAATACCTGATTGTCCCTTTTGAAACCTAAAAGAAAAACATGAACTCAAAACAACTGCCCACATCATAAGTCTTACAAAAACTGTTGTTATCTTTATTACTACAATGGTCTATAATGATCTTCATCTTTATTCAATTTGTTGAATCCTAAAATGGTAAGCACTATTCTAGGCAAAAACAATATCTTACCTATGTTGTAGAACATCTTCATAATATTGATGCTATTTCAAAGAGAACAAGGAAAACCAGAAAGGAAGTGATAGGTCATTAAGCAGTCAAGCTGAGTAAGAGTGGGTCCAACTCTGAAGGAGGTGGTTTTATCCTTTTTCTGTCTTACATTGCTCAACAACAGGCAACTGCCCTGGCCTCCTGCCACAAGGATCATGGAGTCTGCGTGACTGTTGGATCATTAGCATCTTGGAATCAACTCAACATCAATAGTCAGTTGTTCTTCTCGGGACGTACTCTAAAAGGGTCAGTTTTAGGAGGTATGTACAGAAGAAACTGAATACTAAAAATGAGGAGCTAGCAGGAGGAAATAGAAAAATGGGTCAGAAGTGCCTAAGGAAAAACATCAATCAATTCTAGATTACACTTCTTGTTTTAATGTTTAAAACTCAAGTTAAGAAGTAGATATTAGCTATGTCCTCTGTCTCTTCATAAGCTTTATTTCATGCAAGGAGAGGAAAATAGAAAAAGACAAAATTTTATTTATTGAATTGTAAAACAAACAACACAACACTCTAGGTACTGGGGATGTAGCTCAGTGACACAATGTTCGTGCCATTGCTGAAGTCCTAGGTTCAAAACTACCCAAACTTCAACAGTATTGAAACAAATACCTGTACCTGGAGTTTTCTCCAGTCCTGCCTGGCCCACAGTCAGGACAAATCTCTCTCACCCGCCAGTCCCGTAGCCGCTTAGACCCAACCAAGTAAACACACAGAGACTTATATTGCTTACAAACTGTATGGCCACAGCAGGCTTCTTGTTATCTACTTCTTCTATCTTAAATTAACCCATTTCTATAAATCTATACCTTGCCACATGGCTCATGGCTTACCAGTATCTTACATGTTGGTACTCATGCCAGCGGCTGGCAGCGTCTCTCTGCCTCAGCCTTCTACTTCCCAGAATTCTCTTCTCTGCTTGTCCTGCCTATGCTTCCTGCCTGATTACTGGCCAATCATCATTTTATTTATACAGAGCGATATCCACAGCAAATACCTGTACCCCAGCTAAATTATATAAATGTCCCCTGCGATTCTTTCAGGTATATGCTCAACTATTAGTAGTCATTATCAAAGCAGTATAATATCTTATCCCAGATGAATGAGCTGCCAATATACCAACTCAACAGTATTAAAAATGATGGATTCATAATTTTCAAGGAATATTAACAAAGGGGGGTTCTTTAATAACAAGAAAATGCAAATTCTCTTATCCAGAGAAATAAATCATTTCATGGAATCCTTTAGGTTCCATTATTTAAAATATAAAGACTTTAGAAGACTTTTATTTAAAGTAGGAAATAAATGAAATTATGTATTCCTGCCTAGGATTCTGGGCTCATCTGCAAGCAACCTAATGGGGTTTTGTTGTTGTTGTTGTTGTTTGTTTGTTTGTTTAAGATTTTAATGTCTGTTTACTTTCATGTATGTGGGTGTTTTGTCTGCATGTAAGTCTGTGTACCCCTGGGTGCCTGGTGCCCATAGAGGACAGAAAAGAGTATCCAGTCCTCTGAAACTAGAGTCATACACAGTTGTGAGCCGTCCTATGAGTGCTGGAAGTCCAACCCAGGTCCTCTGAGAGAGCAGCTAGTGCCCTTAACTGCTGAACCATCTCTCCAGACCACAGTTTGATTTTTAAGGAGCCTCTAGGTGGCGTTAGTTCTTGAACAAAAACATGAAATTAGGAGTTTTCTGAGCACTGGGAACTGTGATCTCCAAGTAAACAGCGGCAATGAATTGTCAGGCGTTTGGAGTGTTACCCACTTCATTTGTACAGTGAGCAAAAAGACCTGTAAGGGGGGGAGTCCTAATTCAGCTAAACGCTTTAGCTGTTCAGTTCCTCTACTTGGCTCACTGGATAAACACCACTGCTGCTTCCCTCTGCTGTGTTTATTATGATGGTGTTCATTCCAAATGCATGTGTCCGACTAAGCTTCGTAACATAAGATCATGTTATCTTGAAAAACCCTTATAAAGAACCAAATTTTTTAAGCACTTAAACATTCATTCAACAATCATTAATGAAGTGAATTCCCCCTATAGAGAGCATAGTCCTCTGGTTTTACAGCTTCCAATCAAGGGTGTTACTAAGATTGGGAGACAGATCTCCTAACCTCCTACAGTGTGTATAGGGAAGAACCTCCCCTACTCAAAATTCCATTAGTGCCCTCGCTGAGAAACAACACAGCCTTTCTTTGTTTTTTGAAAAACACTGCCTAATTTTGTCTACGTACCCAGGACCTTCCTTCTTTATTCATTTCACTTTATGTTATATTTTAGTGTGTGTGTGTGTGTGTGTGTGTGTGTGTGTGTGTGTGTGTGTGTGTGTGTGTGTAAGAGGTATGTAAGCACCTCAGTGCTTATGTGGAGGTCAACAGTCAAGTTTGTGAAGTAAGTTCTTCAGACCACCTTTCAAGACTTCCAGGAATCCAACTCAGTTCTCCAGGCTTTCACCACAAGTACTTCCACCCACTGAACCATCTCCCCAGCCCAGTGCCTTTCTTAGTGTTCTCCCACTGAAGTAATAAATAACAACAACTGTTTTTACATACATTACCAAAATGCTTCATTAGATCACCAATAAAAACAAAAGAAAAAATAGACGAGCCTCATAGGCTGCAACAGATAACACTAGCTAGAATTTGTGGTTACAAACAGGATCATTAACTTTTAAAACACATCTGTTAGAAGAGTTTGGGGCACTTTTGAGAGTAGGTTGAAAGGCTAGAGAAGCCGACATTAATTGGAATGAAGAAAAGCAAGCATGAGGATCACAAAGATGGCTCAGCAGTTATAAGCATGTATGTTTTGCAAAGGACCAGAGTTCCTAGTATCCATATGCCTTATGCCCATGGAGGCCAGAAGAGAATGTCAGCTATCCTGGAACTAGAGTTACAGACAGTTGTTAGCTGACATGTGGGTGTAAGGACTGGTGCCCATGTTCTCTGAAAGAGCATCCAATGCTCTTAACTACTGAGTCACCTCTCCAGTCATATCTATTTTTTTTTCTTTAAAAAAAAAATCAAGCAGCTGACAAAGTCCTATGACATAGTTATGAGCAGAGGGCACTAAGCAGAGTAGAGGAGATCACACCCTGCAGCTACGCCATGCTCACCTCTTCCACACAGGAGGCCAGAAAACTCTGGTTGTGACTCATTGACCAAGGTACTTAGAACAGTGTGAAATATATACACTTTTGAAAGCTCACGAGAATAGAGAAAATACATTGCAAGGCTAATAATGTTGCTTAAGTTAACCCCAGAGGACACATTTTAGTAATAATTCATACACATTAATTTTCTTATTTGGCTTGTTCATGAAGCTGCATGTCAAAACACACACACACACACACACACACACATTTCTATGCTTTTAGAGAGTGCAGTGTTGATGATCAAACCTAGAGCCTCATACCTCAGCCACGTGTTCTCCCAATTGAACTACTTCCCAACACCTATTTCTAACCTTTTAATTCATTAATCATCCCAGGACTGTGGCCTTCATTATACATTAGGTTTGAATTCACTGATCTACAGAGACTACAACCTAGCACTAGGAACATCACAAGATGAGATTGAATTTCTATTGACTTTGAATGATGCCCTCTGTGTCAGAGGCATCAGCGGTCCCTGGAAGAGCACAACCCTAGGTGTGGTCTGTATGGTTGGAACAGCACTCATTATGATGGGGCAAGTTGATGGAACAGCAAAACTACTCTAGCAGTTTGACATGGCCAATCTTTCTTCCTGTCATCCTTTCTATCTTCTTTCCTTTCTTTTGTCCTTAATCTCTTCTTTATGATTTGAGAATTTCAAATATGCATATATAGTATTGTCAAATCCACACATGATACCATTCCCAACACGACCTTTCTTTTATACTGAAATCTCATGGGTAGAGTCTTTCATAAGTCTATGTTTTTTTGTGTATTTCCAGGCTGGAAAACCAAGGATGATATCCCTAAGCTAGTTTCTGACTATACAGCCAAGAAGTTTACCCTAGATCCACTGATCACCCACACCCTGACTCTCGATAAGGTCAATGAAGCAATTCAGCTCATGAAAAATGGGCAATGGTAAAAGTCGTTTTTAATCTGTGTGTGGGTGTGGGGACAGACAGCTTGTCACTGCTGCAAATGCTGCACAAAGAACCTTTGAGGAGCTCAGAGCCTCCCCTGCCCTCTGAATGTGGCTTTATTGCTGACTTATAAACTACATGATCCTACAAGTACTAAGGTAGTAAATATCTTAGCATTATTTTTTATACAACACAGAACTAAAGGTGTCATCCCATGAAGTTATGGTCCAAGTTTAGGAACACAGTTTACAGAGCTGAAGAAATGGCTCTGCAGGTAAAAAGCACTTGCCACAAGATGAACATCTAATTCCTCAGCAGCCACTTAAAGATGGAAGGAGAGAACTGACTCCACAAGGCTGTCCTCTGACTTCCTTATGCACACCTTAGCTCACGTCTACCCTCCACTCTTCCCCAGAATAATAGAATAGAATAGGACAAGAAAAATTGAGTTCATTTTACAAAGAAGTCATTGTTGTCATTGTTTTATTTCTGTGTGGGGGTTTTCTACAAGATTCCTAATTCTGAAACCTCTTTAATCTTCCCAGTAGAAACTAGCCATAAATGACATCAGCATTTGTCTTCATTGAAGTTTCTATTGCTGCAACGAAACACCATTGGGGAGGAAAAGTTTAATTGGCTTACCCTTCCACATTGCTGTTTATCACTAAAGGAAGTCAGGACAGGAACTCAAACAGGGTAGGAACCTGGAGGCAGGAGCTGATGCAAAGGCCATGGAGGAGTGCATGCTCCCCATGGCTAGCTCATCCTGCTTCCTACAGAACCCAGGACCACCAGCACAGGGATGGCACCACCCATCAATGGCTGGGCCCTCCCCCATTGATCACTAACTGAGAAAATGCCTTACAGCTAGATTTCCTGGAGGCATTTCCTCAACTGAGGCTCCTCCCTCTCTGATGACTCTAGCCTGTGTCACATTGACACAGAAAAGCAGCCAGGATAGCACTTCTCACAGCTGAAGCCTCCTTACCTATTTCATTACCCTGAGAACTGCATCTTACTCTGTTCAGTTTCCTCGAAGCTTGTGAGTCAGCCCATTTTTTCTCCAACCTCAAAGGAAAAAACATGAGAAGAAACATGAGAAACACAGACCTCAAAAGTCTAAAACATGAGAATTTGAATCTAAAATACATGTTGCTTTGGAAATTCCTTAATGTTTTGTTTTTCTTCTTTTTCCTTTCTGTAGTATCCGCTGTGTCCTACTACCTTAATTACAAGATCTGCAGTATTTCATCACTAACTTGGATTCTCTATATTATTGTGATTTAGAAGAATCAGCCACACAACGCTTTTCTGTTTACTTGTCTTTGACTCACTCAACAACAACCTTGTATCAGGCTTCTCACCTGACCACACCATCAAAGTTATTCTCACATGACCCAGTGCCGGCAGGACCAGCCTCCCTTTTACAGCTATGTTAAGGTTGATTTGAACCACCCAATAGCACATTCTGCAGATGAAGGCACACCAAGATGCTCCATTGGCACAGCTCCGGACCCACATGTCTTCACCCACTGGATCCTTCCCACACTGTATGGATCTGCACATGAAGCTCTGTGTATTGTCCACAAGAATCAGAACTCCCACCAGAGAAGCTACTGGAACTGATAAACAACTGAGCAAACTTTCAGGTCACAAAACCAACACACAACAATCAGTAGTATGGATATATAGCAATGGCAAGTTATCTGATATGGAAATCAAGGAAGCAATCTCACAGTTAGAGTGAGATTGATCTTGCAGATAAATTAGTAACTAGGAACAAATTTAACCAAAGGTGAAAGATCTCTATAATAAAAACTGTGAAACATTGCAGAATATAGTGGTGTGCTTCTTTAATCTAAGCGCCTTAGTGGCCAGGGAGAGCCAACCTATGTGAGTTCAGGGCTAGATTGCTCACACAGCAAGTTCTATATAGCTTGATCATGATATAATCAAGTCTCAAATATATACATATTTAAATATATACAAAAAATGAAACAACATTCTTTGTTCATGAATTAGAAGAATGTTGCTTAAATGTCTATACTACCCACAGGGAGCCATAGGAATCATGGGTGATTCAATCAGAGGGCTAAGTTAAGCCCTTCATGGACCCTAGGAAAGCTGGCCCTGCCCCTCAATGGACACTGCAGCAAGAGAGCTATCCCCGACCCTTATGTGAGAGCTATTCCCCCTCCACCCACCTTGCACTTGGGAGAGATGGCCCTGTCCTGTAGCTGGAATTATTCCTGTGTCCCACTTGGTCCTGCAGCCCCTTGAACCCAATTAAACACACAGAGGCTTATGTTACTTACGAACTGTATGGTCTATGGCAAGCCTCTTGCTACCTAGCTCTTATATCTTAAATTAACCCATTTCTATAAACCTATACTTTGCCACATGGCTTGTGGTTTACCAATACCTTTACATCTTGCTTCTCCTGGCAGCAGCTCGCAGCATCTGCCTTGCCTCTCCTTTCTCTTCCTGTCTATCTGTTTGGATTTCCCACGTGCCTCTAAGCTGCCTTGCCATAGGCCAAACAGCTTGTAAGTAATATAAGCCTCTGTGTGTTTAACTGGGTTCGAGTGGCTGCAGGACTGGGTGGGACACAGAAAAACTTCCAGCTACAAATGGCACACAACATGGGATGCCAATTGTAGACGAATTTCTAAACAGTCTTATTAAATAAGAAACACAGAGCCAAATACAGGGGTGAAAGCCATAGAGATCAGAGGAATAGGAAGTCACTTGCTAACCTTAGCTCACCATGCCGCCGTAGCTTCCCAAGAGAACCAGCTTCTTCCTGCCTAACCTGTGCCTTTATTGCCTTGCTGTTCTGCCCTCTCATCGGCTCTTAGCCCAACCACATCACTTCCTCATCACTGCCTGTCTATACAGACCTCCAAGTCTCTATGGTTGGTACTGGGATTAAAGGTGTGTGTCACCAAGCTTGGCTGTGTCCTTGAATACACAGAGACTCTGTCTACAATGTGATCGGATTAAGGGCATGGACTACCACCACCTGACTTTTGTTTATGGCTGGCTATCTATGTCCTCTGATCTCCAGGGAAACTTTATTTATTAACATACAAATAAAATATTACCACATTTCAGCACAAATAAAATATCACAACACCATCCTTTACCACAGGTTAGGGAAAACTGACCCTGATGGCATGGGCAGAGGGGAGCTGGCCCCGCTCCTCGCCTGAGGCAGGGTGGCACCAGTGGCCTGGACTGTCCAGCTCAGCTACCCCCCAGGTGCACAGCTGGACCTTGGGTTGGCTCACCCTAACATCTACCCCACCTAGGACCTGCTGGAGCTCATGAAGGGAATGGTCCTATGGAAAGATACCCACAGGATCTCCATGACTTAGAATGGCTTCAGGATATTAGAGGAGTTTAGGTGAGGATCCACTGATGATGGAGTACCAGAAACCAGAGGCCTTGAAACCAGACCAATGACTCACTGCAATGAACATTTGCAAGTAAAGCTGATTACACAGAAGGGTAGACTGTGTGACACACCATAGCCCCCAATGTCACTAAGACAAATGCAGAGGTGTTGGAGAGGCGGGAAAAACAGAGGAGTGAAGAGGGTTATTTGTTTGGTTTGTTTTGAATTTTTTTTAATTTCATTTTTGGGGGACACTGCAGGAGTAAAAAGAGGATATGGAGGAACTGGAATGTGAGTGTAATTGGGGTGTATGATGTGGAATTTCCCAAGAATGAATAAAGAAATTATGTTAAATATTTTAAAAAATTAAATGTGCAATCTTACCATAATGTTAGTAATATTTCTCACAGATAAAAATAACCTTCAGATCTGTATGAAACTCAGAAAAACGCAAATAGACAAAGTAATCCTGATCAAAAAGTACAAAACAGGAGCCATTATACTCCAAAACACACTACTGAGTCTTAGTGACCACAGCAGCTGGTGTGGCAGAAAAACCAGAATCACAGACCAAGGGAACCAAACAGTGTCCAGAAAAACTAAAGCATGTGCAGTGAGCAGGCTGAGGGGTTGCTAAGAAGATGCATTGGAGACAGGGGGATCTTTTCAATTAATGATCCTAGGAAGTTAGATGGGAAATAAGTTATTTTTTTCCACATATAAAAAAATAAAGCCATACCGCCCTTCTCTTGAACCAGTTACTAAAATGAACTCTAAGCACACTGAAGTCTTCAATGTAAGGACTAAAACAACTATAAGAAAATGTAGGTAAACAGTTCTGGGCCTTGCAATGAACAAGGAATCATTGGACAACTCCACCCCACCCCACCCCCCACGCACACAGACACAGGAAAGAAAAGCAATTAGACAAATGGGATTGCAGCTGACCAAGATGGGGTTCTGCACAGCAAGGGAAGCTGTCACCCCGTGAGGAGACAGCACGCAGTCTGGAGTAAAGTACCATGAGAAGTGCTGCTGTGCTGTCAACAGTTGTCAGGTGAGGACAGATAACAAATACCAAAAGAAAGGACTTTGAGTGTTGTTCTCATAAAGAAACGATTTTTCAGGAGAATGTTTACTGTGATGTAACATGCCAAAGTGTATACACATGCTCCATAGTTATGTATAACTTTATGCTTTTATGCATCAGTTAAAAATAAATTGAAGATGTTTAAGAGATGGCTCAGTGGTTATGAGCACTCTTTCTGAGGACCCATGTTCAGTTTAAAACACCCACATGGCAGCTCACAACCATCTGTAACTCCAGTCCCAGGGGATCCAGTGCCCTCTTCTGGCCTCCATGGACACTGAATGCATATAGTACACAGACATACATGCAGGCAAAACACCATGCATCTAAAACAAAAATAAATCTTTTAAAAAATAATAGAAATAAAAATACATTAATTTTTAAAATGAAATAAAGCTCCTTGTCAGTTACTTCTGCTGCTTTGATAAGAAACCATGAGCTTTGAGATGCTTGCTCCCTGCATCTGGATGATGGAGGAATGTAGAGAGCCGTGCACGGCCGTGCCTCAAAGATGGCGCCGGCGTCCGGCTTCCGCCTTCCCGATGGGGGTGTTCTCTGGGATAAACAACTCCTTATTTGGCTTGGGCGTGGAATCTGGCTTGCTTGCGTATGTCTGACCCTATCAGCATTGTCCACGTGGCACTATGGGGTTGGTTGCCCAGTGGCTATAAAGGGCGTGGCTGGCTTTCCCCGGGGTCAGAAGATTGTTCAAGGTTCCTGAATAAATGGCAGAAAGAAGAGCTCGGTGTTATGTCTTCCTTGCTGGTCGAGGTGGTCGCGACAGAGGAATCTTCTCCATCTTCCCACATCTGAGCTGGAAATCTATGCCTACTCTTCCCCTGCCTTCCATTTCAAACCATTGTCCTGCCTACTCTGCCCCTAGAACAAACTTTGTAACAGTGAGAACTTGTAGGAACTTCATCATGTTGGACAGTCAGAATTTCCCAGAAAGGAGTTAATGAAGCCCAATTCTTCAAAGCTACTTTGAATATCTCTCAACAGCTTTCTCCCCCTTTTTGAGGCAGACTTTCACCATGTAGCCCAGGCTGACCTCAGCCTACAATTCTCCTGCCATAACCTTCAGTGTACTGAAGGTACAGGTGTGAGCGACCCCCCTCTGCTTACATCTTCTTTAAGCACCTGTTCATGGTGCTCACTGAAAACTTCTAATTTTATCACAAAAGCAGCATCTCTGTCTTCTTTCTGTTAATACCTGATCAAAAATATTACACAAGTAATGGCTCTCTACATCAGTACATAGCCAGTCACCACTGTTGCTAGCTGAAGACTACATTCAACTCCCAGGGTAGGGTCCTATAAACCTGTGTCCTGCCTCCAAGCCCTACCACTTCAGCCACATTTAATGGCCCTGTCCCAACCACCAAGCAAAACACAACTTTGCAGTTTCTAGGCACAGTGCTTCCCTGAATAGTGACTACAGGGGTGGTTTATGACCTCTACCTAGGCTTGCCTAATCCCAGACCCACACTATAAGCAGGTATCCAGCTTCTAAATACATCTTGCCTAAATCTTGCAAAGTTTTGAGTCTCTTCCACTTTTTTATCTGAAAGAATAGTTAGA